CACTCAGCAGTGTTTGGTGTTTAATTCCTTTAGAGGATATTTTGTCACCACAGCGTATGAACGGCCTCCGTAACGGAGATGGATGTGAGAGTTTTAACCCATTTGGGCCCGGAGGGGAGCTCTTCATCTAAAGAAATCACTCATTTTAGAGGAAAATAAGCCATGAAAAAGCTGTGAAACAAACGTTTTAGTGGATACTTTTCTGTGTTTTCAGACACCTTTAGGTCATCGAGGCGTCTGCTTTCAAACATCTCATGATCTCATGAGGGTTTCTCCCTTTTTCAGCTATTGTTTAAATCCAGTTGTAACCAAGTATGTGGAGACTTTGTGTTCATCAGTCCCAGTTCCAGAGCAATTGCCAATACGGGAAAATGGAAACGCTTTTTGGGTTTGAGCGTCTCTTAGCAGAAGGTGGAGATGTTGAGCCTTATTAGCGTTTAAACAGTAAAGGGAGCTGGTTTGCCCTCAAAAGTCAGAAAAAGGTTAATATCTGCCCTCCAGGAGCCAAAAAACTCAGTTTTTGTTTGCTTTTTGCTGCGTGGACCCTGGTGGACGCGGGATATCTGCTGTTTCTGCTTCTGAGATGCAGTCCAATTGTCCGTAATTTAGATTTTAAAGCCTTTTAGACTTTCTTTCTTTTCTTCTTTAAGACATTATAGAAGAAAAGCTCATTAACCCTGTAATGCCAAATGTAACATATTTGATACATACGGTTTCTGAAATGTTTTGCGTCTTACACCTTTTGCATAAATTAATGGTAAAAACTTTGCTCAAAATCCTATTGTACACAATCAGATACACCTGATAACAGGGGGCAGAAGACTACACAAAAATAATATTGACTTATCGCATAGTAATAAATTATTAATATAAAAAATGTATTTCTGTTTTTTCTTTTTACATATTTTGTTAAAAGGCCAAATAAGGAATTCAAACCAAAAAAAAAGTAATTTTCTGTTTTGTTTTATTCTTGGATCAGGCTTTAAAGGGTTAAGACGAGAAAAAGTCAGTGAAATTTGGGGCTGGCAGGTTTTGAATAAAACACAAAAAAAATGTCAGCAGATTGTAATGTGGTTACTTCTTCTATTATTTTTGCTTTCTCTCTTTCTTCGTCTGTTTTACAGGTCAAAGATGTGTGTGGGGGGGTATGTATGCCTACCCCACAGACTGTAGGAATCTAATCGTGAAAACAGCGTCTACATTTGAGCCTGAGTTGGTCACATGACCCACCCTGCTTCTTCCAGCACTCGTTGGCTGTCATTAAATCAGTTCTGTGGCTAATTTGCACGTCTTTAATAAACAAACGGCGGCCATTTTGTTTCCCTGATGGGTTCCAGGTAGCGTCGGGTTTGAGCGGGACGCAGGTGATCTGCATGTTTTAGCTCCTTTGGTCACCTGACCGAGGGACCTTCAGGCCCTGCTGCCCTCTTAAGGATTCAGAGTCTGGCTACTGTGATTTAAATTCCAAACACCCACCAAACATATTGATATTCACTTCAAGGGGCATTTAAAGAAGAGCTGGGTGAAGAAACTGAGCAGCCCACTGGTGTCGCCGTCATTTTAAACAGTTTTAAATCAGACGTTGCATCACACAAATGAGCCTTTTGTTTTCATTTTATCATTCCAAATCCCACAAACACATCTAATATTACCGTCGTAGTTTATCCAATAACAGCAGAAACGCAGGCACAGATATGAAACCTTCCCACTTGAGCCTCTGAGGATATTGCCGTCGAGGGAAATGTACTCGTTGCGTGGCGTTATGAACCATTTGGCTCCATCTGAAACTCTCATCCGTCATGTTTTCACATTAGCAAAACAAATCTGCGCCTTCCCCACTATGAGAGTATGGATTATTATAGCAGAGTTATGCTGTCAGATATATAACTGCAGACTGCAAATCTCTGTTTTATTATGGTTTCAGTGCGGGGAAATTATTTTTTCTTCGCTTGAGTGACATCAGGGAGAGTTTTCCACTTGTATAATAATTGTTTTCATGCATCAGTACTTCAATATGATTATTCTTTATTTAATAATTTTTTTAATTGCAAGTGTCAAACAGACTCTACAGCTTCTCAGCTTCATATGATTTTTCTAGAGAAAATACTTTCCTTACTTGGCTAAAAACGAATAGCTTTAGCTAAGTGGCTAACGCTAATAGCTTTAGCTAAGAGGCTAACGCTAAGAGGCTAACGCTAATAGCTTCAGTTTAAGCTATTAGCTTCAGCTAAAGCTAATCGGGGAAAAAAACGGTTGGAAAAAGCTCCTGTTATGAGACATAAAAAAGCCTTTCAATCTGTCTTTATATACTTCTCACATAGTTCTGTCCTTTAAACAAACTGAGTCAAAACAAATTCTACGATAATACATTTATAATAGATATAAAAACAAGTAGTTCAGTGACATATAGCTTGTAAGTTGTAGCCTACTGGTGAAACTAGCACCTGTAATGTGAATACATCATATGTCCCAATTTAATGGCTATTTAATAGCAAATCCCCATTCTTTAGAAATATATTTGATATTAAAAAGATACGGCATTTAAGCAGAAGCTCTCAATTGTTCAAAGTACAACAACAAGTTGGAACTTGCTGCTGTGTGGATTCATGTAGAAGTTTTTCAACACATTTTAACTTTTAATTAATGGAGAGAGATGATTACGATGTCAGCTGTCCAGAGACTGTGTGTGGTGCTTTAATTAGTTTAATAATTGCCAGTATGGGGCTTATATGCAGAGTGTTTTTTAGCAAATGAGCTTTTCCAGCTGTTCTTATCTCAGCTTGCTGCTGAATCTGGAGTTCCCTCATGAGATGATTAGGTTTAGATTTTAGATTACTGAAAAAGGCCTCACGGTTGTGCTGATATCCACCCGAGTCCCAGGAAGGCAGCACCTGCCCCATTTCAGGCCAGAGAGAAAAAGGGGGAGTTAAGATTAACATAAAGTCATCAAGAAGAATAAATGTGTGCCATTTAAAAAAGAAAAAAGAAAGATTTTGAACATTTTTATGTCCATTGAAACTGTAATGAAATGATCTTTTTTTACAGATGGATATCTTCAGATAAATAATAGTGGTTAGGGTTAGGGTTAGGGTTAATAATAGTTTGTCTGTTAAGCGTAAAAAAAAATCAACAGAAAACGAAAGAAGACGGGCTTCTGTTGGTGGCTTAAAGTGACATGAGAGGAGTTGGAATTCTCCAGATTACGTTTGAACATGAGGCTGGTGGTTGTGAGGTGGGTGACCTTTCGCAGATATGTGTGGACGGGCTTTCAGAAAGCTCTCGTCCAGCCTCATTAGGTCACTCCAGCTCCTCTTAGGTACGGCGTGCCTTTCTGCAGCTCCTCAGAAACCCAGGAGCCAGTTTTCTCCAGAGTTCCACCAAGATTTTTGGATGGAAAATAACCCATTGTCAGGATCAAGGAGCAGAAATGTGGAGCATGCTGCTCATTTGTTTGTTTCTTTGATCTGAAGACGCACAAATGGAAAAAAAAAATGAGTACAATTGGAAATGGATGTCTCTTTCCTTTGTGGTGGTTTCTATCTGTTTGTGTTGAGGACTGAATGTGTCAGGCTGCTAACCCTAACCCTAAACCTAACCACATATTTTCTAAAATGATTCGAATCCACTCAAAGTTGAGATTGTCCAACTCTAAAGCGAACCAGAGCGAGCCTGGGCCATTTGTTCGTTGTAAGTC